CCAGGGTCGGATTCCTCTCAGCTTCCTTCTTCGCTTTCCGTTGCTCTTTGCGGCGTTTGTTCGCCTGCCTCCACTGCAGCATGTCCTCGGCATGCGTGCAACGGGCCAGCGAATGGACACTCCAAGGCCAAAGAGCCGCCTCTTTGCGCTCTCCCCCCGAACCTTCCCCTCGTTACCTCGTTCATTCTCTCCCAATGCCAGTTTTCTTCCGGTTTCTCTGAACATGGTGCCAACTCAAAAAAAATATAAACACCCAGCGCCAGACTCGGAGCTGACTTTTCGCTGATTGACATTGATAACCGATTCACCAAACAGGCAAATCCAAAAGGCTTTCCACTGCTCCGCAAAAAAAGGGGGGGGGGAGAAAAATCAACATCGCCGAAGGAAGCCGTGGAGGGAAATTTTTGGAAGCCACGCTTTGCTCCAGTGCGAGCTCCCGGGTTTTGCCTCCGGCGAAGTCGCGAAGTCGCGAAGCGAGGCGCCTGCACCGCGGGCAACGGCTGCACCTCGCGCTTGGTCACCGTGAGCCGCGGGATCTTCTCCAAGGGTTGCACGGTTTCGCCCTCGCGGAGGGGGGCGGGGGGGTGGGAAACGCGAAGGGGGGACTGAAGACGCCCGTGGAGTTCGGCTTTCCGTTTCAGGCGTCCCTTGAAAAACCAAGGGTGCAAAGGGCACCCAAAAAAAAACATGTTTTTTCTTTGAAAAAAAAATCAGACACACACAGCCACATGCAAATCTATGTGGATATGAACACACATACTGTGTGCCATGATCAAAGCATCCAAGGTTCCATTTCTCGGGATGGCCTCAATCCCTAACTCGGTCGCTTTCTGCTCCCCTGCTAAAAGTTTAACTTTTAGTGGTTTAGTGGTTTAGTGGAAAAGTTAAAGTCTTAACAGCTAAGCAAAATGCACCAAAGCTTTGTTGAGGGTACCTTGTGTAAGGCGCCCTTTTTGATTGATGTGGTGTGAAAAAGAAACCAAAGCACGGCCATTTGGGCGCTCCTATCTTTGGGACACGCTTCCCTTAGGGCTTGAATCAAAAACGCCATGGGCTCAAACAAATGCCCTCAACAAATCCAATCGACACATTCAACACGTGGTTGGATGTGCAGGCATCCAAATCGCTGCCAGTTTGCTGGCTGGTTTGGTGTTCCTAGCCCGTTTGATTGAGATCATAGTATAGCCTTGATCTTGATACCGCTCTTGGTAAAGCCTAACGTCAGTTGGGGTGCTGCTCAAATGAATAGAGCGTGAATGGAGACCGCATGACCAAACTGTTTTGTTTCCTAGCAACCATTTGGAACTCCCTAGCTTTGACTCAGGCTTTGACATAGTCATATTCGCCTGTGGCACAAACATACTTGCTTCAGGACGACATGGGAAACATCGGGGGACAAAACCTAGGCCTCCCCAAACCATCACTAGACTACCAATCATGTCCATGGCGCAAATGCCTTGCCCCCGAAAAAGGGAAGGCCTGAAAGAGTTGGTGTGCAGTGGATTAGTCTGGAGTCTAAGGGAGCACCCCTGCAAAGGACCTGCTTAAAAGGCTCCTTTATGCTCCTTTTTTGCGATCGATGAGATCGTTTTGTCCTCGAGTTGATGCGCTTGAACTCTGCGGACTTCTCAAAATTGGTGGGACATCCCCGCCTTCAGAACCAACTTCCAAAGGGCCCCTGCCCCGGTTTTGATCGACGGACCCCCAGGTTTTGCCACCATCTCCCTGCCTTCCGCGGATCTGCGGCATGCTGCCAGATCTTCTGAAGCGCCAGATTCGGCACGATCTCCTCGGTGATGCGGTAGGAGAGCCACAGGCCATCGCCTTCTTCCTCCTCCTCCGACGCCGCGGACTCTGACACCGTCCTGCACACGAGTCAGGAGTCAGAACAGTCCTCTCCTTTTCCGGGCCATGCGCTTGGGAAATACTTGTCCAAAGTAAGGCCTTGAGTGCGTGTCGCCTGTCACGGCTGAACCCGGGTTGACGGTTGGGACTTTTGTATTTCCCACGAAGAATCGGTTGGAGCACTCTAAAGTGGGTTGGGTTACGTAACCCTCCTTTTTTGGAAAGCCCAAGCCTGTTCCCCCCCCACCTTCTTGTGCCTGGGCCCAGTGTGTTGATTGATACTGGGGGGTCATCAAAGTCAAATATTGGGGGTGTACGGTACACCCTTAAACCTACCACAGACGTTGATCATGTTGCCCCCGCATATGTCAACCTTGGAGACTGACTAGTGGGATGTCTCCCAACCAGTGAAGCATCATCTTAAACGGGACACTTCCCGCATTGATCAACCCGGGAATGATTGATGCTGGGCTCCGCAAGCACACGCCCCGCTCTGTGGACATCCACGCTTTGCCCCGCTACTTTGCAGACCCCCCCCCCCTCTCACACCCCAACTTGAAACATCCAACAAACAATCAACAACCAACAACCAACAAACAACAAACAACAGACAACAAACAAACAACAGACAACAAACAAACAAACAACAGTCATCAAACAACAAACATTCATCAAACAACCAACATTCATCAAACAACCAACATCAAGCAACCAACAACCAACAACCAACAACCAACAACCAACAACCAACAACCAACAACCAACAACCAACAACCAACAACCAACAACCAACAACCAACAACCAACAACCAACAACCAACAACCAACACCCCCATTCACGTGTGTCGTGCGGCCAAACTGTACGGCTCGCTGTCGCCTCGGCCGCGAGGAAGGCGAAGCAGACCTCTCGCGCGTCGAAGGCTCCCGCGCCTCGATCTGCCCACCCCGCGCGGAGCGCAGACGCCGCGAGGAGTCCGCGATCTCCGACAGGAGGTCGCCTCGCGAAGGGACCGTGGCGAGGCGGTTGCGAAATCCATTTCCACCCTGTAAGGAAGCCCTGGCAGCCCTGGTTTCTGATCCAACTCATGTCCCTCGTGTGAACAGGGGTTGCTCCCATACCTGATCGGCTTGAAATGCCTTCAAGTGCTCCCTGGAAAGGGACAAGAGACGGTCCACAGCTTCCCTTTGAACCGAGGAAATGGGGTGGGTTTACCCCCGCAAATCATCCTTCGAATGACTCCTGGTTGGAACACCAACTCGAAACCGGCTGAAAAAAAGGACATGAATCCAGTGAATGTTCAATGTCTCCAATTCAATAAAAACATAGACGTTTTGCATGATGTCACGGTCATGGGATTATTTCCGGTTGCAACTCAATTTTCGGGGTTCGTGGCCCCTGCCCTCTCCAGGCAAAAGGGCGTAGCAAGGCACACTGCTGAGGCATAGCAAGGGAAGGCGTAACTAAGGGAAACTGCTAGTGACTGTTAGAGGCCATTCCGGACCATGGTATGGCAAGGGCGTCTGTCAATAAGGCTTCGCAGCTCCACAATAGTCTTTGGTATTGGTGTAGTATCGGTTTCATATTAAAGCTGGTTTGGTATTGGCTTAGTACAGCTCAAAGCACTGGTGTCCTGGTTTAGAATTGAATTTTGCGCGGACGCCGGATGGAAGCCCGTAAAGCAAAGGGCTTTGACCATTGGGAATAATTTGATCCCAAGGGGTGGACATTCAGCCCAATGAAGATAGTCAGGGGCCTTTGTGGGGAACACGTCAATGCTAAAGCAATAAATTCCTGGGGCCATCAAGGTTAAAACAATAAATTCCCGGACCTGAAGTGCAAGCAAAGCCTGAGGCAAGGTGAGAATACTGGAAACAAGAGACAGCTGATGAGTACTGTTCTTGTTTGCCGCTTTTGTGGATCTTGATTTCGTTTTTTGGACATGTAACACAATGCGGCCAAATAGTCTGATGTCGGCTTTAAAGAAAACACCATTACAGTAAGCATGGTGCCAATCACAAACCATGCCCTGAAACAAAAGGACGTTTCTGATTTCGCCAAGCTAGATGTAAAACCCAGGAAAACCCATTTTGGGCAAATCAACCACTAGGTTTCTGCGGTTTCTGCCTCTACGTCTTGGGGTTTGCTGAACAAACTGGAGCCAAGGCTTATTTAGCACGTAGCTGTTGGTTTTCCTTCAAACAACCCCAAATGCAAGCCGAAGTGCACCCTCTTGTGGAAGAAAGCCTGCTAACCCTCCTGCATCTTGAAACAATAAATCCAATTTTCCAGCTTCCCATTCTTCGGGTTCCTCTTACCTCAAATGCAACCCTGGGTTGAACAGATCTCCCACCCCGAAAATTGATTGGCGAGACGAGGTGCGCCAGCCCACCAGCACCTCGCGGTTCCGCGGCAGGTGCCTCCTCTGTTCCAGGCTCTGCCTGACTTCGATTCAACTCGGATTCGACTCGCGTGACCCAAGAGGAAAACAGTCAGGGAATCCAGGGCTTTGCTTCCACTGGAACAAAAGCATCGCTGATGCAACTACCCGTTAAAGGGACACCCATGAAATTGAACGTCAAAACACCCAGCCTCCCCAGCCTCCCCTTCGGTTCTTTCCCCCGCCCCGCCCATTTCTCGCCTCCTCCGGGGCTTCCGCGCGCGAGAGGTGGCCTCCCGGGCTGCCTCGATGGGGGACAAAGCGAACTTCCGGTCCGGCTCCACCGCTTCTTCTTTGGGCCTGGGCTCTCTTGACATGACCACTGTGCAACAGAAAAGGGCTCAAGACAAACCCCCGGTATTCAAGGGGCAGATTCGATTCCCGAAGATAGCTCAGAAGTAGAGATAAACCCCGAGTGATCCCACTACCCTGCCCTTGCAAATTGTGAGTCCTTGTTTGAAGGGGGGGCAGGCTACTTAGCAAGCATGCGTGCCATGGTTATATGACCCCAAGTAGGTCATGTGCCAATGGTTGCTCGGCAATTCCCTGATGCGCCTTGCCCCTCCAAGACAGTTGCCTTACCACGCTAGGAGAAGCAACATATACACAGTTGCTCGTGGAAAATGCCTCCCGATCAGGTGCCCAGACTATAAGAAGGTTCTCTTCTTGTTTGAGGGAAGCCTCAAAGAGAAGCGTGTCTTTTTCAGAAACCCAAAT